AACAAAGTGTATTTACATTCAACCGTCGTTTACCTGACGTGATAAATTATAAATGTCAATCACGGTTTGCAAGTAGTTTTGCACAGGCTAAAGCTGAATGAAGTAATAAAACCGGGGCCTCAAAGTGTTAGTGATGGTATGACTTTGAAGGCTTGTCTGTAGAAATCCAGAAAAGATGTACATTTAGCATCTCAACAAAGCATGAATTGTCAAGGAGGGGGCTCGACCGAGTTCGATGCACAAAAACAAACGGAGGTGGAGATAGTAAAAACAGTTCCCAACTCGTATAAAGACATTGGAAACAAGATCCACAAAACCGGGAAATGTTGACACAATTCCCTGACCACTCAAGAAGTTTAATTCAAGACAAAGATTGTGTTATCGGAAACGCATAGACCAGGTGGTTTACTTGAACTGGGACTGTAGTGATGGCTGAGTTTAAAAAATCTGCAAAATGAACACTCTTCTAGGCACATACATCGCGATATCACCCATGGCGGCTGTGATGTCGTGGAGAATAAAAGGCGTCTCGGTAAACACTTGCAGTCGGATGATAAACACACAGCTGTGCGAACACAAATTCGTGAGCTGAATCACCAATGTGAAGGCATCTTCGGTGTCAGGGCGGTCTGAAATAGCATGCTTAAACCTTACCAAGACGTGAATTCTTGGAAGCACATGCAAGTAAACATGTGCTGTGCTGAATGGATTCTTACTTTTGTGGCGTAAAACACCATTGATTGGGATGGAGTAAAGTCGGTGACTCAAGTAGTGCTATGGCGTCAAACTTCGAGAAAGACGTAGTCAAGCATGAAATGGGAAGATAAATAAGGCAATAATCACTCAGTGTCAAAAAAAGGGTCTTGAAAGCAGACAACGGTGCAAATTCAGGTTAAGCACTCTTTGAGGTGCTGACGTTTCGCAACAAAAATCTTGTCCCCACTGAAGGATCGTAGCTGGGCCATGCGTCTCGGTATCGAAGATCAGGAGACGAAACTAAATGTCCACAATGTGTCGTCTTGACATAAGTAACACAAACAAATTTCCCATAACTTGTAGCACATCCATCTCCGGCAATGCTCATTAGTGATACTGCTGACCGGCGTTTCTCGCAATGCGACGACCACAAGGCAGCAGTGAATTTCCAATGGTTGCTTTAGCCTCAAATATTGTTCAAATAGAACCGTCGATGGCATGAATACATTGTACCGATACATTTCGTTCCCCAAGAAGCTTCTTTTGTAAATTGATGCGCATAAAGAACCATGAGGACTAAATCCAAAATCTTTAACACAAACCTTCTCTTCTAACCTCTCCAATAACCATTCACCAAGGAGGAAGTGTTTCACTCGACCGCCACCCAGTTACATTCAGACCCACACGGAAACCGCGCAAAGGGCTTATAATAGAAAAAAAACACTGAAATGTACAAGGTGATGATAAAACAGCAGTAACAAGGGCAGGTAGAAGACGTTACATCTGGGTATTGTGAATTTGTTGGTGGTGATGTTCACACCGTCGCTGGTGCTCTCGAAGAGTCGAGAGGAGTAGTTCACAGGCGATTATTGGATTGACCTGCGGTTTCGACGGCAAACGCTCCAAATTCAGCTCCAGCCTAAAACAGGACAAATGAGAATTAGTGAGAGGAAAGTCAAACGAAAGTATTTTAATGAGATTTTAAATAGCGAAAACGATCGACAGTTGCCTCAATACATACTCCACTCTCTTCGAGAGTAAGAGACCTTCAAAAACTCAAGTCTTCAAATAACCGACATTATCAACTTCACTACTGGCTCAAAACCGAGTTCCATGCATTCATAGGCAGCACCACCCTCAAGAGAGAAAGCTCTTCAATTTTAAGCAAAATCTACAGCGTGAGTGCGAATGCAACAAGAGATGGAATAAAATTGTAATGAGTTAGACCAAAAGATCAATTTCCCCACTTCCTCACTATACATTATTTAACCCTTCCAGTGACACTTGAGCATCACCATTGAGTTGAAAGACATTTCCAACAACCGTGTAGATCAGGTTAATGAGGGGTTATGAGAAGTAGGACACCTACGTGACGATTCGACGCAACAATCCCCTCCTCCTCCTCGACTCATGCGGTTGGTGACGACGCAGAAGGAGTCTCACCTCCGGCCTCACCGGCAAACGGGAGAGCGCAGTAGACCATAGACGTCGCACGAGGGAGAGGAGAGCCTCCGTTTCACCCACGTAGTCATTGGGTGCAGCAAAGTCGACCGGCAGTGTCTCGTAAAGGGTGGCCAAGAGAGCTGAGATGCGGGCAAACAAGCGAATACTCTGCACAACAGAACACGCTGACCGGTGAGCAAAGACCAGTAGCAGTAAGGAATCAAACAATCTTCCACTTGCAATCTTCGTTACGGCTCTTAACAGAGGAGGCAGTTGCCAAACATCAAGCGCATTATACACGTCTCGACTCGAGACTCAATCTGTCCATTTGTGACAGGGGTGGTGCATCCAC